ACTTAAAATTAAGTCCAAAAACAGATGTTCTCTGGGTATCGATATTCAGCTGTCAAATTAATTAGCATAAACGGACGTACACTGGATGCCCGGATATGGACGTCCTGACCCTTAAATGGATCTAAAATGTACGTCCATTGGACTATGTGTGCTGTCTGGGCATAGACGAATTTTTAGAAATAGTACTTATTTAAGTATGTACCAATCTTTCCAAAATCAACTCCAGTATGATTCATTCAATAATTATAAATATGAATGGGCAAAACATCTTTATATTGACATAATTGTAACTTACAATTTAGCCATAATAAGGGGATTTCGCCCATTTTGACAAATCCTAATTGAAACACGCGGATTTATTATATATTTTTTTTAAATATAATTTCAAAATAAAATAAACAAAATCTGCAGTTCATTCTTTATTAAATTTATTTAAAAGAAGACAAACATATATTTCAGAAAATTCAATACCTACATATGAAAAATAAAATGTCAAAAATGATTAAATCATTATACTTAATATTTATACATGTGATAAAATTCTTAGTTTCCTAATAACTTTTTTGGCACATTTTATATCATTAGAATACCTAAGTGTGTAAAAAATCTTCATCTTATTACTACACAAAACAAACACCATGAAATATCACTTAACATTGCTCACATACTAAACACAACTTGGACTGACTTTGACAGATAACATCATTTTGAGTGATACACAACTTATTTTCGCACATGCGCGTTACAAAACGGTTCACTGAAAACACCAAGCTGTCGCTTCTCCTTGATCGGTATTCTCGGGTCAAACCATAAACCAAGGTCCTTCAGTAATTCAGTACGAGGTAAAGACTTACTGCCTATTTTATAATAATTATATTCAATGATTTTTTTTTACAATTTTACACTTGTTAACATTAAGGACAATTCTTGACAATGTCAAGGTTATGTTGTAAGGCATCGCAATCGGAACTACTTTTAATTGAAGAAAATATTTTTAGGTCCTCTGCATATTTTAATTTTTCACAAGTTATAAGTTTAGATAAATCATCAATGAAAAATATAAAGGGAAGAAGTCCAAGATTTGAACCTTTGGAACGCCTGATAAGACATGATATATGCTAGAAGTATAGCCATTGTAAAAACAAATTGACTTCTATTATCTAAATATGAATTTAAAGTCTGTTTGATATCTGAATTAAATACAAACTCTGGCAAATTATTTAACATAATGAAATTATCTAATTGGCTCATAGACTGTAATTATTTATTTATTTATAAATTAATACATCCAACAGGCTCTATCAGCCCAATTACAGGAGTATATAATATATTTAAAAATACAAAGTTTGAAAATACTTACTTAACTAAATTACATTTTTATTACCTAATTTGATACCAATCTGTAACATTGCTCTCTAAATTGGTAAAATTATAGAAAATATATATCAACAGAATACTGATTGACACTTCTACACATTGTAGTTAAAGGACTGTGAAAATGATGTTGTCAATTTGGCACTTAAAAATATGAAATGTTATATTTGACCTTGATGTAATACGTGGGATATGAAAATTAAATTGAGACAGCAAAGAAGATGAATCTATAGAATTATTCATTAATTTAGAGATGAATATCAAATCTGCTATTTCTCTTCTTTTTCTCAGATTCACAAAACTGAATTCTTCTAACAATAAATTATAGTCATAGTGACGAATAGGATAACGGCCATGTTTTTTAAATTAAATAAATTTTAAAAAATTTTCTTTGGACAGATTAGATTCTAATGCACTTATGTACTTTAAATGATTAGCATTCCAAACACAACTGCAATATTCCAGTTTGCTACGAAATAGTAAAAAATATGGTCCTCGACACCCTCATCAGCCGCCTCAATAATGACAGTCACTACACAATCGCATATGCAGATGACCTGGTCATTTTGCAAACAGGGAATTTTGAGAACATACTCTGCGAAAGAATGCAAGTAGCTCTAAAAATTATAGAACAGTGGTGCAAGGACAATTCACTGTCTATCAATCCTAAGAAGACAGAAATGGTCCTTTTAACAAGGAAAAGGATGAAAATGGAATTAAAACCTCCAGAACTCCTAAACACAAAACTTAACTTAGCGACAGAGGTAAAGTACCTAGGTCTCACCTTTGACAGCAAGTTAACATGGAACTCGCATTTAGAAAACAGAGTTAAAAGAGCATAAATTGCTTATGAACAATGCCGCCGTACTGTGGGACGAACCTCGGGTTTCTCCTCCAGAGTCGTCGCATGGACTTACACGGCTATCATAAGACCTATGCTAACATACGGTGCAGTTATTTGGGTACCGAAAACCCAAAAATTAACAGCTATGCGTAAACTAGAACAAATTCAAAGAACAGCATGTCTGAACATAACAGGAGCCATGAAAACAACACCGACTAGAGCGATGGAAGTCATTATTAGTCTCACTCCCCTTGATATTTACATCAAGCAGGTTGCTCTGACGACAGTGACACGCCTCCGCACGGTCGGAATAGAACCTGATGTAGGATTTGGTGAGGCGAGACGTCACTTTTGGCAGGAGGCGCTCGATACGCTCCCACTGCTTCAAGCGAACATGGACTCCATCTCACCGATATATATCTTCCATAAGCCATATAAAGTTATAATAGAACAAATAGAAGAACCAGAAGTGGCAGGTACGATTCATATCTACACCGACGGTTCTAAAACAAAACAAGGCTTAGGATGCGGAATATACTCCAGATTCTTAAAACTAAACATAAAATGGGCTGTAAGCAATAGTACCAGTGTAGTTCAAACAGAGCTAACGGGGATTCTCATAGCAGCAAAAGAAATAACCAGAAATAATATCACTGGAAGGAACATGCTCATCTATACAGATAGCAGACAAGCACTACTCACCCTGAACAGACCACGAATTTATTCAGGGTTAGTACTAGAATGTCATGAAGCTTTGGCCGAAGTATCCATCAACAATGTGGTCACCTTAAGATGGATCAAAGGTCACGCCACATCGAAAGGTAACCGTCTTGCCGATTCACTAGCCAAGAAAGCAGCCAACCAAATACTTTTTGGACCTGGTCCTTCTATTGGCCTGACAAAATCGGCAGTGACAGACCTAATTAAAGAAAATTCCCTTGTGAAATTTAACGAAAGATGGGATGAAACAAGAAACTGCAGAGTTGCCAGGGAGCTCTTAAGTTATCCTGACAACTCTGCAGCAAACAAATACTTGACTATGACTAGACAGAATCATGGGGCTGTCAGAATCCGCACTCTTCAGAGGGTGCGAACAAGAAGATGAGACCATCGAGCATATCCTTTACGATTGCCCGACGCTCTCATTTATTAGAAGATTTGTATTCGGCGAGTATCGGCTAACACCGGCCGATATAAGAGAAGCACCTCTTGGCGATGTTGTCAACTACATTAAATCTGTAGGCTGGCTGATGAGCTAGGAGGTGCCTATCATCTTAGGAGGATGCACAATGGGCCTAATGAAGCCTAAGTGCCGTGGGGGTAACCCACCCTCCACACGTTACAGATACAGATAGTCAAAAATAAATAGAGAAGATGGCTTCTAAAGATTTAAACTTTTTACAGTGTCTAATAACAAAACCCAAGATTTTTATTGCACTTTGTACAGTGTTTTCAATGTGTTTCGAAAAAGTCAGTTTGCTGTCAAATAAAATACCTAAATCTCTGTATTTATATATCCGGAGAATAACAAGATTATCTAATTGATAATCATATAAGACATTGTTTACTTTCCTGGAAAAGGACAGGACTTTGCATTTGTTAGTATTCAAAGATAGTTTATTTACGATACACCAGTTATGTAAGTTGACAAGGTCGTTTTGAAGGGCAATGCAGTCTGAGGTATTCTTTATTTCCCTATAAGTTTTCATATCATCTGCAAACAAAAGTTTCTTAGAGTTGATTCAATGACAGATGTCATTAATAAAAATAACAAATAATAATGGGCCCAAATTCGAGCCCTGAGGAACCCCTGACGTTGACACGAAATTAAAAGATTTGGCACTCTCGTATTCAACATATAACTGTCGATCAGTTAAAAAAGACTTTAACAGTGATTGCATACTCTTTGAAACACCAAATTGTCCCAGTTTCAGAAGATATTGTTTGTGAGACACCTTATCAAACGCTTTACTAAAATCTGTGTAAACGACGTCAACTTGATTTCTACAGTCTAAAGAACTAGATATGTATTGCGTAAATGTATATCGATTTGACGCGGTACTTCTGAGCTTCACAAAACCATGTTGGTATTCCGTGATTGAATTTTTTACGGGGAAAAATAATATATTAGAAAATATAATTTCAAAAAATATGTAAAAGAGTGGAACTGACAGAAAACCTATATAATTTTTTACCAGTTTGGATGAAACATTATCAGGACCCCAGGTTAACTTATTTTTTAATTTATTAACTGCGTTGATAATTTGATCTTGAGATATATAACTAATATTAAGGAAATTACTAGGATTTGTATCATCATCAAGTATCTCATCATCAGATCCATCAATAAACACTCTACCAAAGTGCCTGGCAAAAGCATTCACAATAGATTGGGGAGTGGTTAGGGTTTCGTTACTGTATGACATTTTCCCGGGAATACTAGTTCTATCTTGTTTGGATTGAATATATGATCAAAAACGTCAGGGATTTAGTTTAATGGTATTTTCTGAATTTTGAATGAATCTATTATAACAGCTAGTTATATCACGTTTTACAATTAGTCTTATATTTTTATAACGTTGTAGATAAAAGAGAAGTTAATTGCCACTGACTACCACTAAAAATTAAATAACAGCATTGACAACTTCTCAATCGGTACTGAGAAATGGTGGGCGAAATCAATGCAGTTTAAATGAGCGCACCTGGCAAATAATTTTAATTGCGATTTACTCACTGCATAATGAAAATCTACTAGCAATAAAAAACTTAAATAATAATTCACCTTATTCCAGTATCTGGTTCCTCGGCACTGCCAGATCTTCTAACATAACAAAAAAAACAATTAACCATCTCATTTTCGTCATAATATTGATTAATATTTTCAGTTTTAATATGTAAATATGCTGTATTATTTTCCACCGATGTATAAGTGAGTAAGTCTCTTACAGAACAATTCACAGGTGGTAACTTTTTCAGAATTGGTTTGAGTTCATCAGAAAACGGTGGAAAATTCGGTAGTTGGCACTTTTCATTGTTAATGATATAATCTAAAATAAAAAGAAAAAGACTTAATTAACTCATCAAAGAAGATTATTTGGAGGCATTTAAAGTACCAGTGTACTTAAGTGATATAATTAATAGGTGATATCTGAAATGGAAAAAGGTCCAGAGGTAGAGACTTTAAATTATAATAAAAAAAAATGTTATTAAAAAATTTATTATAATCTTAATTTGTAAAATAATATTATAGTTTTGACTTAAAAATTAAACAAAAACAATTAAAGTTTTTACCATTTTATTTATAATGAAAGGTATAAAATTCGAGTAGCTCATACAAACAGTAAATTAAAATTTCGTACAGGGTGTTTCCATCGTAAACGTAAAACATATCGCCACCTTAATGTCACCTTATTTTTTTTTAAATATATTAAAATAAAAAAAAAAGTCGGTCAATAATAAAAAAATATAATGTAAAATCTGAATACATTCGACTGTATTTGAGTTTCTAAAATAGATTAACAATTAAATATTTTGAAAATGTGACATCAATCTAAATCTATTTACTGTTTAAAAACAATTTATTACTCAATAACAAAATGAAGACAATATAATAATAGAATTTCATCTCTGATAGTTATATATGTTATTTTAATAATATTTTAGTTATGATATGTTACAAAAGAAATTAAACAATGTATATGATAACCGTAATCGTAAGTAGAGTCCATTGTTAATTCATATTTTGGAACATAGTTTTATACGACCATGCAATCATTAAAAAAATAGTACATTATACACTTAGGTTAAGAAATGAACTGTTATTTACCGAGCCCTTTTATATCCTGAGAAGAATAGCGTCGAAGGATATAATGTGCGAGGTTTATAATGGCCGTCTTAACAGAAGTATGTATACAAGGTGTTCCATCTTAGATGAGCCACCCCGTATATTTCTTATCCCAAAACACATCGCATGATTTTCTTTGGAGGACATCTTTTGACGTATATTTGAGGCTGGAACAAGCATCCCCCTATGAGGGGGCGCTTTAACCCCTCAAAATTGAATAGGAGAGGGTTGAGTGATACTTTATTTGTAAGGTCTTTATAACGGTGTATGATAAAAATTACATTCTTCAAAAAAATTAATTGTTTTCTCATGATTACAATCAAAAAAATCTGATGTGTCTTTCCTATCTAGTTATTATAGGCTTTTTCCGGTTATTTTGTACCTATTGCAACATTTCTATAAATGTTTAGAGGATAAACTAAATATATACATTGTCCACATACATCTACCTCGACACATTTTTCAATAAAAATTCATTGAAAACGAAAATACTGAAAAATTTAAATTTAGCACTTTTCCATTACGGTCCATTTTAGAAAAATCGTGTATAAACAAAAATTATAGAGATCGCAAACAACTTTTAGTTCAAAAATTTTCATAAGAATCAGAATTTTGCACATTTTGTCAAATTTCTCGAATACGGACCATTTCAGGAAATTTTGACATAAAACAAAAATTATAGATAATAATATTAGAAGTAACTTTAATTTAAACAATTTTCTTCTCCAAACATAAATAACAGATATATTCTATAAAATATAAAAACGGCCTCCCATAAAGTACCCCCCCAGATGTTCCGACTTTGTCCAAAATCTAATCATTTCACGTCAGGTCGAAATAAACCTTAAGTTTAAAATTTAATGTTTTTTTCTTTATCCGTTTTTGAGTTTTCTTCAAAATTCGAAATTTACACATTGTCTCAAATGTCTCGAATACGGTCCATTTTAGAGAAATTATGTATGGAATAAAAATTATAGAGAATTATATTACAAATAACTTTTATTTGAACAATTTTTATAAAAAAATATTTTTTTTTTACATTTTGTCAAATTTCTCGAATACGGACCATTTTGTAAAGCACCAAAATTATAGATAATAATATTATTAGTAACTTTTATTTGAAGATTTTTCTTTTCCAAACGTAAATAACAGATATATTCCATAAAATATAAAAACGGCCTCCCATAAAGTAGGTACCCCCTAGATGTTCTGACTTTCTCCAAAATCTAATCGTTTCACGTCAGGCCGAAAAAAAACTTATGTTTAAAATTTATTGTTTTTTTCTTTATCCGTTTTTAAGTTTTCTTCAAAATTCGAAATTTACACATTTTCTCAAGTATCTCGAATACGGTCCATTTTAGAGAAATTATGTATGTACTTGCGATTAGGATTAGGAGGAATGATAGAATTTTTGTAGGAATTACGAAGATTAGTAGATGAGAGAAAATATATTTTTTAAATAAAACATTGTCTTATTTTAATAACAATATATAGTTTGATATATTTCTTATATAATCTGTATTTTTATTTATTCTAAAATGGGTACATAAAAAAAAATAATAGACTCAAAGTTTTCGCTATGCGATTCTTACAATTAAATAATATTTACAATGATTTGAAAAATACTAGTACCAATAAACAAATAAAATTAGGATTTTTAATAAAATATTCAATATAAAAGAGTATATATTATAGCAAAAAGTAGAATATTTCACAGTTTCGCATTGCTAAAGAATTAACCTAGTAAAATAGTTTTCAAATGTATTAAAACTGGTAAGGTGGAAAATCTTAATGTTTGAGTAATGGTACTATTATTCATACATGTTTAAATGGCTTTAGAGCTAAAGGGAAGCGCGATAACAGTCTATTATAGTTGAAGCACTGATAGTCAGAAGAATACTTGAGACACAAAACCGTTACTGAAAGTAAAATTTACTAAATATAATAACAATTTCATTCTTGTATTTAAAGATTTTAACAATTTCATCTTGAATTCTTAAGTACATATATCTACTGATATTGTGACTTTTCCACATGCTTTTCTAGATTTTATTATTTTAATGATCACTTTAAATATATGGGGTGTTGTGGTTTTTTACTTAAATGTAGTTCTTTTAAATAAATTTCTTGATGAAATGAACTTAGTTTGAGATATTTTCTGTGCTAATTCTGGACCAATTTTAGTTCATGTGGACAAGGATTTTTATGTGCGAACTCAACACGTTACTTGTTGAATAGAGAGAGACATACATGAGAATCACATTCTGTAGTACGAAGATAGAAGCTTCTCAACACGTGCCGAATTGAAAGATAAGAATCCCACTGCAGTTTTGTTTAAATAATTATTATGCATAGACGAAATTAATATTTTCCATTATTTGTGTACATTTTACAACTAATAATTGTTTCTTAGTAACATAGCAAAAAGAAAAAATAACTTTACAATTTTAAAACTTTCTAAATTTCTTGACTATTCTGATGATTAGACAACACAAATGTCGAATTAAACATTTATGTCACGTTAACGAAAACCAATAATAGTGCACTGTTTTAAGATTTGTTTGATTGTGCGCATGTAAAAAATCGTATTTAGGGGCCCTAGAGGCTGTATAAAATTTGTTTCTGTTATATTTTAATGCTTCACAAATTTCACTTTTATATCTAACAGGCTAATTTCAATTTTTTGCCAAAGCAGCTAACCTTGTTTACAAAATATGATTATTATGTTAAATATAAATACGTTCTGTAAAAAGTGGAGAAAGAAATTTAAATTTTATAATCTTTTATGGTATTTACAAATATATATTTTATTTTTAGAAGCAGTTTTTGGCAAAAATTGAAGATATTTTATCTACTGAGTAAACAATTGATTTTCACTGTGTTTAAATTTTAAATTAATTAGTTTTAGAACTATTGTTAGCTTACCTGATACAAATTCTCCATTTGAATTGGCAAAACAAATAATGCTATATAAACAAAATACCACCAGTATCATTTTTGACCGAAACACTGCAAAGGTCAATTTAAAATACCTACCTACTACCAATTGATAATCTGTAAACCTAATAATATATTCTTCGAGCTTGTTTGGAACGTGGTTTTATTTAAAATTTCGCAAACTGATAACAATTTATACGGGGTGTACTTATTGTCGGCTAAATATTTTCATTGTTTAAAATGATACACGGAAAAAACAGTACCATATAAAATATTTGCTTGAATGAGTGCGATTAACATAGTTCATAAATAAAAGCATGTTTCTAATCATACATATTTGTTACAAGTAAAAAAAGTTTCCTAAAACGAGGTTTTTAATAACCCTTGGTAGACGAGTCCTAATTAAAAAGATATGTAATAATCTCGAAAGTCCATTTCATTGATTCGTGTCTCTCTAGATTTGACAACGGCATTCGACACAATAGTCTAGAGCAGTGCTTCTCAACCTTTTTTCCTCGCGGCCCCTATATTAGGTTTAATTTTGGATAATTTCAGCCTTACTTCTTTTTCAACGTTTTTCAACCTATTTCTATATTTATTTTTTATATACATTAATGCAGAAAATTAAGTTTCGCATAAGTATGTAGTAGAAAATTGGATTAAAAAATTCAAGGCTTTGTTTGACAGTTCTGGATATGAATATTTCATAAATAACCAAAAATCTTGGAGTACAAGCTGATCGAATTTACTTTTTAAATCACCATCAGTTGACAGTTCTATGAACTGTTTCTTTTCTAGTGCTGTCAGACCTTCATTTTCTGATGTAATTGCAATCGAGTATGGATTTCTAATCCATGCATTGTTGACTGTCGGCAGGGGAAAATACTCACTAAATGTGATTTTTAATGCGCCCAAATGCTGCAAAAAGAGTGATTTATCGCAATCAAGTGGAGTCTCTTCATTTTCTTCTAAAAAATCCTTTAATTTGAGAAAAGAATCAAACTTATTTTTTCTAACATGGTGCAGCCACACATCCAATTTTTTTTATCATTACTTAAATCTTATTTTCGGCTTGAAACTTTGAAATTATATTTCCTTGTAAATTAAGGTTTAGTAAATTCAAGTGGTTGAATATGTCTGCTAAATAGGCCAATCTGGTTAGCCAATTACTATCATTGAAACGGTCTCCGAGATGGAAATTTTTGTCACTAAGCAATAATCGGACCTCGTCCTTTAGTAAAAACAATCTGCTCAGAACTTTTCCTCGTGACAACCAACGAACTTCTGCGTGCAGTAAGAGTTGATTATAATCACCATTCATTTCTGTGCATAATTTTTTAAAGAGTCTTGAGCATTAACTTGAGCATTAAGCTCTGCTTTTTATAAAATAAACCACTTTAATGGAATCATCCAATGTTGCTTTTAGTTAATCAGGAATCTTCTTCGTTACGAGAGCTTCTTTGTGAATGACGCAGTGAAACCAAGAAATCGAGGGAATTCCCTTTACACGTGCTGAAAGTTCTAATTTTCCACACATGGCCCAAGCTCTGTCAGTAGTTAGAGCCACACATTTGGACTAGTTTATAATATGTGATATTATAAACTGATTTAATCAGTTGAAAACATTTTCAGCAGTTGTATGTTGTATAGCAGACATGAACAACAGATCTTCAAAAACAGATTTGTCATAGATGGAACGAACGTAACACAGCAATTGTGCTTGATTTTTATTATCAGTAAATTCTTTTAACTGCAGAGAAAAAGAAGAAGACGAACGAACTCTGTGAATCAGATCTTCTTTTATATAATTTGCCATTGGATGTATACGCTTTTTGACCGTATCATTTGATAAAGGGATGCTTCCAAGTTCTTTGGCAGCTTTATTGCTAATTTAAGTTGAAACCATTACTTTTCAGTTGGAAACAGCAATTCCTCTCCTGCAGAATGAGCCTTTCTACATTTAGCAATCAATTCTAAAACTTGAAATGAAGCTCTTAACGCATTTTCTTTTATACCAGCAACAGATACCATATTCTTAGCGATTGTTTGTGTAGTTTGAAGATGTTTTTGTTTGAATATAGAAAAATCAATTGGTTTATTTATGTGTTCTTTATGTTTTGTTTCTAAATGGCGCCTCAATTTTGATGGTTTCAAAGCTTTATTTAATAGTACCTCAAAACAGATTACACATTGGGGTTTTGGATTATTGACTGGCCCAATAACTGAAAATTCATGTGACAAAAAATCATCTAAATATTTTTTAATTCTTTTTGCAGTACTTTCTTCCTTTACACCACCACCACCGAGAATTTGTTTCTGATTTGAACATGAAGGATCTTCATTTGTTCCTGTACTATCAGTATTAAGTCGTTTTAAATAGCGATCTATCTTGTCAATTTGAAGAAAGCATAGCCAAAGTAAATTCTGATTTAAATTTACTTTTTAAATTATCAAATGACTATTGCTTAGATATAAATCCCTCTAAATCTCATGTTATGCTGTTTGGCAGGAAAAAGATAGAATTAATTACAATGATCAACTTAAAATTAAAGTTAACAATGAAATATTGCCTAATACACATATCGCAAAAAACTTGGGTGTATTCCTTGATACTGATCTTAGATTTGAAAAACACATTAATAATATAATAAAAAAATGTGTAACGAATATAAAAATGATTTACGGCAATAAAGACACCCTGGATCATCGTTCTAAAATCTTATTATGTGAATCGCTTGTATTTTCCCACTTGAACTTTTGTGATTCAGTCTATGGACCATGCATTACTCAATTCAATAACCAGCATCTTCAGCGCATTCAAAATACCTGCATTAGATTAATTTATAAATTAAAAAAAAATCAACGGGTTTCTCGTAAAAGGAGTGAACTAAAATGGCTGACAGTAAGTCAAGCTCGTTTTTTGGATTCCTGCTGCCTATTTCAAAAAAATTTACTATTTAAAACGCCGTCATATTTACATAACAAGATAAGGTTCAGAAGCGATGTTCATAATCTTAATATCCGTAGAAGAAATTTTGTATCAATCCCGCAACACAAGACTAAGATGTTTGAAAGCTCTTTTACTTACATATTTTATAAAACAATCAATTCTCTCCCCCCTGAACTTAAAAACTTATCTGTAAGTGCATTAAAGCGTAAAATAAAATGTTATATATTAAATGGTGACATAGAAGTATCGTTTAAAATTTAAGATTTATTAAAAATTATTTTCATTGATGCTTCGCATCAATTAATAATTATTGTAGTATTATTATTATTGTTAGATAGGTACTATAATTAGATATTGGTGTTAGTTATTATTATTTAATTAATAATTTTGTTTGTCTCTTTTTTGTGGGATTTACTATTATAATCTTTGTTATAATTCTTTTTTTTTGTGCTTTTTACATCAGGATATATTGAAAACCATCTTCTTTCATCTTGTATGATTGACGATGAATATGTCCTTTTCAGTAAGTTCATATTTTGGTAGGTTTCTATTGTATTATTCATTTTCCTTTTTCATTATTATTATATTCTTGATATCCGCTATATTATAATGCTATTATGTTTTATACCATTGGCTTACTGAATAAACGTTAATATTATTATTATTATTATTATATCTTATTTACAATTGCTGTTAGTCAAATCTGAAATTGCTACCTACATTCTGTGCCTAAGCACCTGAGGTGGGATTTATATTAATCCAAAAGTTGGATGCCGACTAACTACAGTGAAGAAGGGGTGAGTCGTAGAAAAAGGTATGTAAGTGAGTGGGCGCCAGAAGCTTAACCTCAAATCCAACAATCCAAGTAACAGTTCACTATGAAACTCCAAGTAGTCAACCTATAAGCATTACCCCTACGAAGGCCTTCAAGCGGCTACAAATTGAGTATGCTCCTATTATAATAAACGTTACTTTACCATAGGTCTTATTGACCAACCTGATTATGTAATCAGACAGATAGCAAGTGGGGTTCAAAAATAAGAAACGTTCAATTTATATACCCAAATTTTAATATAATAATTATTGTGTTTGACCTGGGGGGTCAACTTGTTCACACTTCCAAATATGACAATATTTACCAACTAAATGCTTAGTACCTTAACGATTAGATTCCCCAACTATTAACAGTAATCCAGTATCACTGAGAGTAATATTCACAACTAAACGCTATATTAAGCTTAAAATAATTAAATGGGACTAGGGGTAATCGTAAAACTATAACAGATGAGGCGTGTACTGTATTTATCAAAATAAACAAATAATAGTGTACTATTTACGGACGCTAGGGGTAAAAACAAGTAAAACTCTGGTATTAAAAATATTAGTTACCCATCAGTAATATACCCCACGAAGAGCTCTTGGTGACGTGTCTCGGGTTTAATTAAATGTACTGTAAACTATACACCCCTAAACCTCGTTTACATTAGGTTTAGATAAAAATACGTACTAATAAACCCTCAATAAAATAGATTAAATAGTAATATAGTAAAGATAGCAAAAACTTGCGATAAACAGTGACTTCATTCCAGCTGGGAAAATTCTAGTAGACGGTTGATGTCCTACTTCAGCATACAAATCAATCTGCCTGTCATAAAGGTTGCTAGCCCATCACACGAATACTAGCTGGACACAAGATGTGCTAGCCAGTCTGTCACAATAAGTGTAAGTGTAAACCGTGACTTCTTTCCAGCTGGGAAAACTCTAGTAGACGTTGATGTCTCTGCTTCGTTAGCAGCATACAAAGCAATCTGCGTGTCATAAAGGTTGCTAGCCCGTCACACAAATACTAGCTGATCACAAGGAGTACTAGCTGGTCACAAGATGTGCTTGTCCGCCAAAAGCCTACTAGTTCGTCACAAAAACTACTGGCCCGTACCAAGAAGTGTCAGCCCATCACAAGAAGTATTGGCCCGTCACAAGAACCCCTTTTAACAGCTATAGGGGAGACACGAAGCACCAGATAAAATTAAACTACAAATTTGTGAACAGCTTATCTAAAAAGACTACTTTTAATATGTGGGCACAATGAGATTCAACACGTGGTTAAATATATACTCCTAAAAGAGCTCCTACAACATGTGGTCACCAAAAAATATTACCAAATCACACTGTTGTAACTTAA